CCTTCCCCAAGTGATCCTAGCTCTAGTAGAAAAGAATGAAGACAACTCACAAAGAGAGAAAAAAGATTGAGCAATGGTGAGAGAGAGCTGACCACAGCACTAGGCCCTCAACCAGTCATGACCGCACTGTCCACTCCACACTGTATTTCCCAACTTCCTGAGCCAAAAAATTCCCTTCTGTTGCTAAGCAAATGTGAATTGGTTTCTGTCACATTTAACCCAAAGAGTTCTGACTAATATGACTGAGGCTAAGCTCTTCAGAGTCCTGTCGTGTAGAATCAAGGTGAGTCAGGCCCTCTCTAGTCAAATTCCTCACTGACTACAGCAGCTCCTCTGTGATGTCTCATCACACTACTGACCTGGGATGCCAGGAGACAAATCACATGCCCCTCTGGACAGAAACAAAGAAACTCTGCAGAGCAAAACTAATTGCACAGAAAAGAAGTCAACTAAGATCCTGTTTATGAAAGGGTCTAGCACTGAGCCACTGCACTTGAAGCCATGCAGAGAAGCCATGCGGAGTCATGGCTCATCAAATAGAAGAAGTAAACATAAAAGGAAAGCAATAAAAAAAGAATATAGCTCACCTTGCATCCCAGGGTCCAAAGCATAATCTTGCTCTGTACAGTTTTTCTCTCCCATTTGTTAGAAAATGTGTAGACAACAGGTGTTGTGGTTCCAGGATTGTGTTAGTGGCCCTCCTTTCCCTAGGCAGTCTCCTTTAGAAATGGGCTTCAAAGCTTGCTGAGATAAGAACAATTCCAATCCAGAATACCTTTCCCCTTCCTGTAGGAACAAGGGTCTAAGAGACAACACACACACACACAAACACACACCTTGCTTCTCATGCAGCTGGGGACTTTGTAAGTCAGGAGCAGGGCCCAGGTCCTCTCTCCAGAATGTCCAGGGTTTGGCTGAACTGAAACCTCACGGAAGGCAGAGACCCCGCAGCTAGCAGCCCCCAACATCAGTGTGACACAACTTCCTGCAAGGCCCCTATAGGAGCAACGGGGCAGCTGAAGGCCCTGGGATCAATAGGGCCATCCTCTCCAGCTGTGGTCATTTATAGGAGATTTTCCCAAAACCATGAACTTATCTCAGCTATATTTGCAAAAAAATTCCCTGCACTAGAAACTTGAACAAAAACACAGTTTTAAAAAATGTCACCAGATTGCTGCCTTCAGCCCAAACCCAGCAAGTAGAGTGTAGGCAGAAAAGAGCCCAGAACGAGCAGCCAAAGCTGGGCTCTGGGTCTGGCCTACCACCCACTAGATAATTCAGGATGAGCCATTGAGCCTTTCTGGGCTTTTTGTTCCCCATGAGGGGAAAGGCATTTTATTCTGCCCTTTCTGCTTTCTTGGATCCCAAAGCACCTCCATGACCCGGCCAGCCCCAGGCAACAATAAACTGGGTACAAAGTTTCCAGGAGTACTGAGCGGGTAGCACTCCAGGTCTGGACTCACTTGAGAGACACCTGTGCGCAGGTATCACAAGCATTTCTCCCGTCTTCTGAATCACAGAAACTGCAGCTCCCCTGTTAGCAAAGTCAGCCTGGCCCCCCAATCACCCTGCTGAGCACACCTAAGAGTGGGGAGACCAGGACAGATCCCCGGGGGCTTCAGAAAGAGACTTTCCGCTGTGGATTCCCTTCATGACTTGACCTGTCTTTGCCTGTGTGTTAGTTTCAAACCTGAAAATCACAGAAACCCAGGATGCCGGAGCTATGAAGGAGCGCTCAGAGATGTTAGCCTCCTCACTCCTAAGCTGTCTTAGAGATGAGAAAACAGGAAGTCAGAAGGGAACAGGACTTGTCTGAGATCCCACAGTGATCAGTGACAGGGCAGAGACCAGGACCTGAGTGCAAAGGTCGGGGCATGGTTTTCCAGATCAGCCCCTGGGCCTACTTTATTCTAGATGTGTGCCCTTGCTGGAGTCACTTAGCCCCTTGAGTCCCAGTCTCTTCCTCTGTTAAAGTGATGGAGATAGCACTGCCTTGTGGGGCTACAGGGAGGATAAAGCAGGTAATATATGTAAAGTGCTTGGAACAGTGCCCAGCAGAGTCATTTGTAACTGTGGGCTCTTATATTATTTACCTGCTCCAATAAATATATCCCAAACTTTCAGGCTTACAATAGAAGTTTATATATCACTCTTGTAGCTTTCCAACACCAGTGTTCCTTGTTGGTGAGTAATTTACCACATGGGTGACCTGAAATCCAGAATCATGAGACTGTATGGTTTGACCACTCCTATGAGCTGGGAGTCCTTTCTTCCAGAGGGGTAGAGAGAGTGAAGGAGCCTCATGCTCTTCTAAAGCCTCAGCCCAGAGGTGTGACATATCATTTCCATTCACACTCCACTGGCACAGCCAGTTCTGTGGCCATTCCTGAGCACAGAGGGCATCGGGTGGGGTTGGGCCTGGCTGGGTAGCCACTCCCTGGTAACAAGCCCACAATATGGAAAAGGCGCACAGATTTTTGTAAACAGCCAACAAATCATCCCCAAACTTAGTGTCTCAAAAAAACATTTATTGGTTCACAATTCTGTTTGTCAACAATATGAACTGAAGCCATCTGTAGTTTTTCTTCTGGGCTCCTCTGGGCTCACTTACACAGTGCCAGTTAGCTGGCAGCTCTGTGGGCCTGCATGGGCTGGGATGGCCTCACACACAGGCTTGGCCCTGAGCTGAGAATTGGAGCATCTCGGACTCTCTACACGGCATATCCAGCAGGCGGTCATCCCAGTGAGAGCAGACTTGTAAGGTAACAAGAACAGATACTGCAAGGTTTCTGGAGGTCTAAGTAGGCACCCACATGCATCACTACGGCCACATTCTGTTGGTGAAAGCAAGTCACAGGGCAAGTCCAGGTTTAAGGAGCAGGGAGACAGACTTTGCTTTTTGATGAGAGGAGCATAGAAGGGTGGGGTCATTTGCAATCTATACATGTGGCTGGAGGAGGAAAAAGAGCAAACTCAGAGGAAGAAAGGGTATCTCCTGGGCAGACTGGTGAAGCACTAAATGCCTTTGCAATAGTATCTGGTCCTCAGGACTCGAGAAGGACCATGGCTTCATCCGACACATATGCAGCCCATGAAATCCACAAATCTACTGGGGGATTGAGAAAGAGAGACAGCGAGAGATTATTTAAATAGTGCCATCAACCCTAGAACACATACCTTGGAGTGAATATGAGACAGGAAAACTGGAAACCACTTGACTTGCAAAAGGATTTTTACCATCTTTTGAGTTATTTTCTTGATTAACCTGTTATTTACGCAAGGGTTTGGAAACTCTAAGTATGTCAATTTAAATAGGATATCACCAATATATTTTTAATAAAATGCTTTTATATTATCACTTGCTTTGAATATGCTTTCACAATACTTAGAAACTATAAATTTTGTTCATCAAATTATGAAAAAAAATATCTCATGGAATGTAATATTCATACCGGTCCTTACTGTAAAACCTAACTACCAAATCAGATTTACTTCCTATTGGAAAAAAAAATGGACATGTGAAAGAATAGAATAAAACAAACTGGAAAATAAATTTTGGAATAAATCCCATAAGATGGTGTCCTAGAAGTAGTCAGGTCAAGATTTACATGCTTTTTATCCAATATGTTATTTCAGCTATTTTATAAACTATAAAAAAACTCAATATATGGTTTCTGATTTCTTTTTTTTTTTTATAGAGGCATGTTTTATTTATTTATTTGTTTGTTTGTTTGTTTGTTTGTTTTGTTTATACATGCACTGGGTACAGTCAGAAGCGTGGGAGGGTGAGAGAATTCACCAGAGCCAGAGCGGGGAGCAGAGCAGGCAGAGGGACCGAAGTACACTGCTGAGGGGAGCAGCGGGCGGCAGGAGAGGTCTGCGCGCCATGCGGGACCCTCCTCCGGTGGCCGGGGAGCAGCCAGGGATCAAACCGGCGCCGCAGAGGCCGGGGGCAGCTTCGCAACCCAGCGCTCAACCGCTGCGCCACTGGGAAGGCCCGGTTTCTGATTTCTTAAATTATAGTTTATAATAATGTTGAAATGTGAGGCCAGAAACTATTAAGTGTTTTAGGAACTGACAGTTATGGTAGACAACATACTTCTTTGAATTCTGGTGTTTGGCTGTGGGAATCAATTAAATAAGAATAAAAAGTAATTCCACTAATTTCATGGGACATAATAATAAAACTTTTCTGCATATTTAGGGAAAGAGAAAAGATAAAAAATAAGTGGCTCACAGTCAGCATACTTTAAATGAAACATAGAAAATAGGAAGCATTTTACAAGATAAAATAGGATGAAGATAGATGACACCTACACCTGGAATAAATAATTTATGATCTGACTTGACAAAAAAAAGATTTTAACTACTGCACTGAATAATGCACATATATAGGAACACATCCAATCAAAGTTTTATCTGTAATTTTTTTCAGTGTACCTTGAAAAACATGATAGTCTCTGGAAAGATTTCAGTTATATTTGGGAGACAGAAGTGTTACATTCTTTAAAAAAAAATGTTTATTACTACCACACTGCACTTGCATGTATCTGAATTCAGAATACCCTAACCTGCATCCAGATTCCCCAGTTCTAACTCCAGGAATCCCCTTTTAACAGAAATGTGTGCCCTGAGCCTGTCCGGTGGCTCGATGGATCATTGAAAGAAGCCTTTGTGCATAGACTGGGAGGCTGCACGTCCCTGGGGATGACAGCATCTCTTGCTTTCTCACGGCAAAGGAAGGGCCACATGAACCCGCGTGCATCAGTTAAGAAAAAGACCATGGGAAGCTGAGCATCTGGACTCACTGTGCCGCTGCCCTGAGGCTACATCTTCTACCCAAAAGGGTTTGTATCCCTCCCTTTGAACATCCCTTCCCTAAGGGCTGGTATCCAAGATACCATCCACCCAACTCCCTCGGTTCCGTGGAGCAGCTCCAACTGCGTTTCTAGGTCCAGCTGCCCTGCTGCCCCACACTTACACCCTTGGCTTTTACCTTTGTGCTGCCATCCTTTGCTCCAGGCTGGGGCCCCAGCCCTCCCGTGAAGAAAGTCATCAGTGTCCAGCATCACACAGGCTCAGTGCACCTGGGCAATGTCCGCTGTCTTGGTGGGAAGAACTGCTAGAAAGCTAGAATCAGTTCCCATCGTCAGGACCTGCCCTAGGGCAGGGTATTGGACAAGAATCCCTCTTTCCCAGCTCTACTAAATTGTCTGGGGATTCTTTAACTACCATCTGTATTCGCTGGAAAAGGTGAGGTAGAGGGCTTTATCCTCACAGCCATGGAAAATCCACATGGTTTGGCTTTTCTCTCTGCGTGGCAGAACCCCAGAGTGTGCAGCTTGGGCTGCATGAGTTAGCAGGAACGCGGGTCAGAGCAGTGTCAAGACACTGAGGTCAGAACAGCTACACTCCAACCTTGGCTCACCAGTTGTGTGGTGTTGAGAAAATTGCTTAACTTCTCTGAGCCCTAATTCATTTATTCCCTAAGTCCAGAATGTGTATGTTGATATCTTACTCCCAGAGTTTAGGGGATTCAGTGGAGCACATGCCTGAAGTATCTAACACAGAGCTTGGAGACAGGTGACATACATGTCGTCCTGCTGTGCCCTGCTCTTTAGCTCAGGATCAGGATCCTCCCATTCTCCTTCCTGCCCTGTCTGCTACTTTATTGCTCTACCTCTAACCCTCACATCCCAGCAGGCCAGCTCAGTTCCCTGGGCTCTCTCTTCCTCAGGCAATCTGTGTCCCAGGTCCCGCCCCCAGCCTCAAAAGTTTCCTTAGACATCACAGTGTCCTTCCCCTCTGAGCCTGGATCATTGGGACTCGGACTCACACACACACACACACACACACACACACACACACACACACAAAAGGAGACTGCCTCCTTTTGGGCTGAGGCCAAACCCATAGAGAAAAACAAAGTATAAAGGAGAATAATGGAGTTCATTTTTCACGTACTTCCAGGATCCATGAACTTCAGGTAATTAGACAGATGTAAATGAATATGGGACTCCTTTTTAATCCTTGGTCTACTTAATTGCCTCAGTTGGGAAAGTCATTAATAAATGATTAATGGAAATAGCTTCCATAAAAATTGAATTATCTCAGATGTGTTGCAACCTGCTGCCCAGCTACTCTTTAGAGAGTGTAGAGCTGTTAATCGCTTCAGGTTGACTGTCTTCCTTTACCAGCAGATTATGCCCCCAGGCAGAAGGACTCTCCACAGAGCCAAGTCCTTGGCTCAGTGTCAAAGAGAAAAACCAAGATCAAGGATAAATAACTGATTCAACGTGCCAGAAGCATCCTATATCCAAGCCTGAGTGGGAGCCCCAGGGCGAGGGGCCTTTGCAACCAATGAGAGGCAAAATCATCCAAACACCACCCCCCCACACACACACACACAACACACATCAAATGGGAAGCTAATGGAAGCCAACAAAATGCAAGGAAAATGTGGGGTTGGGAGGAAGACTAGAAATCCATACTGCCAAATGTAGCGGTGATCATCTTCTGGTGAGATAACAGGATTGCCCAATTTTTGTTTTACTCTGCGATTTTTCTGCATGACGTTGTAATATGTTTGAAATTAGACAAAAAATAAAGAATCTTGCATGTAAAGAATCAGAGCATCCCCTGATTAAAAAGTGGTGGATAGATGGATAATTTGCTCATACTGTATCATTTTTAGGGTGTAAAATGTTTGGGTCTAATGTGGGCAGATATCGTGCACACACCATGACAGCAAGGCAAGAGACCAGAGACCCATGTAGGCTGCTAAGATCCTTCAGCCATATGATGGCCTCCAGGGACTTCCCAGACCCCCGGGCCAGAGAAGCCACAGCCAAATGAGATTGCAAAGCCCACATTAGCACTGCACTCACCTGAGCAAACGTGGGGACTGTGGGAAGAATAGGAAGTCAGAACCCTCCAGGTACAAGGATTGATCTGATCAAAGGCAGTCGCTGTGCTTGTAAGGCATGCAGAGTCCCTTACTTTGAGCCTTCCAAGTTCAGAATTTCACCCCACATGGCAGTTAGAGGCCATGGAGCTGCTTTTCTATTGTAACAAAGTAACCACCTGTGTCCCCAGGTTTCACAATTGATGGTATTACCTCAAGTTTCCTTTTCCAGGCTTCAAAAAGTAATCCTGCAAATATAGAGTGAGAAAGCAGATTAAGACTTGCTTAAGAGTGGGGGTTGGGAATAAAGATTAACTGTAAATAGTACGAGGGATCTTATTGGAAACAAGAAAATGGTCTAAAATTGATTTATGGTGATGGATGTGTCATTCAGCAAAGTTACTAAAAATCTTTGAATCAGACATTTGACATGGCTGAATTTTATGATATGTAAAATACAACTCAATAAAGCTGGTAGAAAAAATGAAAATTGACAAAAATCTACTTTTTATTTTATTTTTTTTCCTAAAGATTTATTTATTTATTTTTATACAAGAGCTGGGGTACAGGCCAGAGGCGCAAGAGGGTGAGAGGATTCACCAGAGGCAGAACAGGGAGCAGAACAGGCAGACGACAGAAATACACTGTTGAGGGGTGCGGTGGGCGAGACAGGAGAGGTCTGCTGTGCCATGTGGGTATCTCACTGGCTGGCCGGGATCGAACCTGTACTGCAGAGGCTGCGGACAGCTTCACAGCACTGTGCTCAACTGGCTGTGCCACCAGGGAGGCCCAAAATCTACTTTGTTAAATTTAACCATTTTACCTTTTTTTTTAATTGAAGTGTAATGACATACACTATATTGGTTTCAGGTGTGCAGCATAACGATTTGACAGTTGTATACAATATGAAATGTTAAGTCCCATTTCCCATCAATTCTTTACAATTTTTCAAATTTGCAATATAATATTATTGCCTGTGGACCCATGCTGTACAATACACTACATCCCCATGACTTATTTATTTCATAAATGGAAATGTGTACCTATTGAGCTTCTTCATCCATTTCACACACACCCCAAAAATCCTCACCCGCCCTGGTAACCACTAGTCTGTTTTCTGTGCCTATGAGTTTGGCAAAACGCTACTGATGTGACCTGCCCCTGAGCACTCCCCAGCTGTCTTCACTGTACAGAGCGGTCCACACCCTCCTTAGAACTCCTACAACCCTTCCTTGGGCTCTTTCCTACTTTATACCCCAAAGAGTAGTATTTGTGCCTGTGCTTACATTCCCACCCAGACCAGGCCTCGTCATTGCTGCCTGCCTCACACTGTCCCTGCCCCAGGGCCTCATAGGTCCCAAGAACAGGAGCAACAGGTAAGCCTGGCCCCAGGGGAATGAATGGAAGGAGGGCAGAGGTGACCTGCAGGCTCTCTCCATGAACCAGGCACATTGCTCAGGACTTCAGGGGCCCCAGGAAATTACCTGGTGCCCAAGGGGCCCTCCCACACAGACCTGTGTCACACACTCCCTGTGCCACCCCATCCCAGGCCATTGTGACAAATGGGATCATCTGCTTTGTAACCCACATTCAGGAACACTGGTGCCCCCAGGCAGAGAAAGCAAAAACCTAGACCAAGCTAGGTATCACCTTGTCATTTCTAACAGTGAAAATCCAGGAACCTGAGAGACCAGCAGGAATTGCTTCAATAAAATGCTGCCACTGGAGAATGATGAGGTAGCTAATGAAAAGGGCATTACTCAAAATAACTAAATGAAAGAGAAAATACAGTAGATACACAAGCAGGATGCAAAAACAATGTAAATAATATTATATGACGCCTCTTTTATGTCAGTAAATCAATTGGAAAGAATATCAAAATCTTTACTTTGGATCTATGAATGCTTTTAATTTCTAATTTCTCTACATTTTCTAATTTTCCACAATGAGAGTAGACTAGTCTTTAAAAATACACTTAAAAATATAGAAAAGCACAAAGCATAATAAAACAACAAAAAAGAACCATGTACCTGCTCCATAAAATAAAAGTCATTTTATTTAGGTCTTTTTTTTTTTAACGAATAAAACAGGCTAGCTAGAAGTTTCTATTTTCTCTTCTCTAGTCCTCGCCCCGTCCCTTACACTCCAGACACAACAGCTTTCATAGATCTGATGTGTATTCACTCCAGGTTTTACTACCATCATATAGTGATTACATAGCATTGGCAATTACATAGCAATTTCTTAAAATTGTTTTTGAACCTACCAATAAAATAGTCATGCACAATACATAACACCCTGCAACTTAACTCTTTCTACAGCTATCCATTTTGAAAGATTTATTTCTCTCACTTACTGGTCTGTACTATCCCGCTGTACAATCCTCCATGATATCTTTCTCTCCTCCTCCATTGATGTACTTTGGGTTTATTTCAATTTTTGCTAAAAGAAATGCAATGAACATCACTGAGCATTTGTGTGTGTGTGTGTGTGTGTACATGAAACAAGACTTTAAATAGAACAGTGGTTCTCAATGTGTGTTTCCAGGGCCAGTAGCGTTAGGATAGCCTGAGAACTTAGTAGAAATGCAAATTCTCATCCCTCCTTCCCTACCCACAGTCACACACCCCCACTCCAGATTGAATCAGAAACCCTGGCATTGGGCCTCACTGGTGGCGTAAGGGGTTAAGATGCAACCTATGGAGCTGTCTACAGCCACTGTAGCATGAGTTCAATCCCTGGCCTGTGAGCTACCCACATGGTGCAGCAGACCTCTCCTGACTTGCCTGCTTCTCCCATCAGCAGTGTATTTCAGTCCAGCTGCCTGTTCTTTTCCCCCACTCTGTCTCCAGTGAATCCTCTCACCCCCCACACCTCTGGCCTGTACTTCAGTTCATGTGTGCATAAATAAATAAATCTTTTAAAAGAAGAAAAAAGAAACGCTGGCATTGGGGTTGGGCAACAAACATCCTAGGGGGTCAGACAAACTATAGTTTGATAATCACTGCTCTAGACTAGAATACCTACCCAGAAATGGATCATTGGGTTCTTGGGGATGCACGTTTTAAGTTGAACCATATACCCCCAAATAGCTCTGAAGCAGTGTACTGATGGGTTTCCCTACCTCTTCACCAGCACTGGCGCTGTCAGGCCATTTCCTTTGCCCAACCTGAAAAATGGAAACGGTATCTCATTTGTGTTTAAAGTTGCATTTCTATGGTTATTAAAGAGGTTTTCATACACTTACTAGCCCCTCAGATTTCTACTTTCATTAATTTATAATATTAAAAAACAGATTTAAAAACACACATACAAACTTTGTTCTGTACCCACTGCCTCATCACCCTGTTTATGGCATAGAAGCCTGAACCAGGGCTCTTTGGTGTGTCCTGCTGCCCACACAGCTCCCTGGTTAGTACCCTGTGCTGCCAGCTCCGATCTCAGTCCGAGGACCCTCCAGGGACTCACCCTGTCCTCCCCTTACGACAGCCATCATGTCCTGAGCCCATCCGCCTGGGAACAATCCCGCCCAGCTTCCCTCCCATGAGGCACCTGGCCTTATCAAGAGATCAAGGACAGTAGATGCTTAACAAGTCTGGAGAATGAATCGGTCAATCCTTTATTCACTCAGCTGAAAAATATTTACTGCACCAGTGATGTGCCAGGTACTTGACTCGGCATAATAGTGAGAACCATCATTTCGCCTGATGGAGCTCACAGTTCCTTGTAAGAGACACATTAAATGAACAATTACATAAATTCATGAAAAATTGCTAGACTTGTCTGAAAGACCAACAAAGCAGATCTTCCTGGCATTTTCAGGAGACATAACCTCCATCTCTCTCATAGCACTTGTTCCACACCACATTCCTCACACAGCTCCACTCACAAAGCCACGCTGGGGCCAAGCACAGGCTGAAGCTTTGCAATAAAGCATAGAAAGTCCTCAGCCCAAAAGAAGAACTTTTGGGGCTTAGGTCTATCTCTGCAGCTTAAGCAGGGACTTCAGGGTGGGGAGGCGTGAACTCCTCAGTTCATAAGCCTCAGCCCTCTCTCCCACCCCTGCCCACCGCACACACACAGTTCAGCGAGTCTAGGAATTTACCTGCAGGAGAGAGGGACTGGACAAAAGGGGCTGCATCAGGAGGGGGCATTCCTCAGGGGCTCCCCACCCTCACGGGTGGGGACGGAGCCAGCAGGTGGCAGACCTACCAGCTGGATGAGCTGGATGAGCTGGGGAGGGGCAGGGCTTCCATCCCTTTGTCCTAGCAGGGCTGGCCTGGACAGTGGCCAAAGGTGGAGGGGACAGTTGCGGCCTCCCTATAGATGTGCACCAGACACTCTGTACTTACTGGCATTTCTTGCTGCATCTGTTCACAATGGTCTTCAAAGCTTGTTGACATATTTGAAATTCTGCGTTCAGACAACTCAAGCTTCTGCCTCCCATGCACCAGCTGCAGTGTATTAATTAAAACAGTGGATGAGGTGTGCCCGGCTAATCCTCTGGGGGAGAGGTGGGCCTTATTTTTCAAAAGGATAAGGTTTCCGCTTACAGGGTGTTGATTTGCTTTTCAGAGTTCCAAAGGGCATTTGCTGGGCACCTACAGCCAATGCCTTTGGTGGGGCTCCTAAACACTCGCAAGCACTGTGGTGCACAGCAGTGTATGTAGTGCTGTACCTGCGAGCACATGCACATGCGTGCTTGTCTGAGCCCTTGAGCCTGTTGGTGTGGGTGCACGTGTACAGCTGTGTCTGTACGACTGACAGGTCCCAGCTCCCTAACAGCTCACCCCTGATGGATGCTCTTGGCAGGGGGACCGGGCTCCATCTGCTCTGTGTCGAGCTGAAAGCACTAGGGAAGCTGTACTGCTCATAGGGACCACTTGAAATTAAAAGAGAGAGCGACTTTGTGTTTACGCTGAAGGCTTTGTGATGATCATTCCAGGGTAAAATTTCTCTCACAGGAACCCAACCCAGTAGGCTGCGTGCTCTTTATCTTGATTGTCTCCAGCGCCTAATGGATGTGCTCATTCAACTCTTCCCAGCTGAGTTATTCAGTTATCTGTCTCTTTCTGAATGGCAGCTTGGGACCCTGGAAGACAGGACCCCTGGGATACAGGTCCATGGGAGAGGTTTCCCATGAATATGATGAAATGGAACCCCCTGGAATTGTGAATGGACACAGGGGCCCAAGGGTAGGAGGCTGGGCCTGGTGGTTGTGAGCTCTGGGGCCTGGAGTCTGGCCCCTACCCACCATGTGGCCTCTGGAAATAACCCCTTCCCCCACCTGTCCTGTTGGGGCCTGCCCTATTATTTGCAAAGTCAAAGAAGGGAGCATGTCATTTTTAAGGTGCCTTCTGTCTACCAAGCTCAGGACTATTCCACAAAATGTAATGATTCTGTTCCTTTTCATGGGATGCTTAGACTCCTAAAAGCTGGAAGGACCTTAGCCCAACTCCATACTTTCCAGAAGCCAGTGACTTCTTCAGGGCAAGTCAAGACAGGACAGGCAGACTATCCACTCTGCCCTAGCCCCCTGGCTGCTGTCTTGAATGCAATGCATTTCTGAGAGGTGACAGAGTTCACGCCCCCTCAGCTGTAGTCAGGATTTAGCTCAGGCCTCAACTCCTTCCCAGGTTCCACTGCCCTGTTGATCCTCTCAGCACCCGCCCCAGCACGGGCATGGGGATCTCGCTACACAAAGGGGGCACTCAGCAGCAGCAGCAGCATCACATCCCTTGTAGTTTGTTGGAAAGGCAGAAAGACTGTCAGATCCCACCCAGATATTTTAGCCAGGTCCCCGGTGATTCATTTGCACATTATGATTGAGAGCTGCTGTTCCAAGTACATCTAGTTTATTCTATAATGATTCCATCCACTGTATATTGATTTATTTATTCTATATTGATGCCATCCACTGGCCTGTCTCCCCAACTGCATAGTAGGCTCTTTGAGAGTAGGGGCCACCTTTCATTCCTTTTTGCATCTCAGGGCTTGGAATGGTCCCTCATGCAAAAGGTGCTCAAATGGTATTGATTGAATATATGAGTTAAGTGAATCTATGCGGGGTTCTTGAGGGCAGTAAACTTGGCAGCAATTCTGAAAGGGAAGACCTAGTGTCAACAGAGAGGAAAGGGTGGAGACCAGGGAAATACCTCTTGGCAGGGTGTTAAGAACTAGCCTGGTTGGAAGGCAAGGTAGGGCATGAAGAAGCAAGCAAAGAGGCTAGAGAGGAAAAGAAGAAGGGAGGAAAGTATACGGAGGAGTTAAAAGGTGCCAATCAGGATGTCTGACAAATCCATCCACCCACCTCACATCCACCTCCTATTGTCACAGATTAGCACAAAGATTAGAAGTGAAGCTCTAGGGTCAGAGAGCCTGGGTTCAAATCCCAATTCCACTACATTTGTGCTACATGATCTTGGGCAAGTTACTGAGTCTGTCTTTCCATTTCCTCCTAA